CCTGTAGATAGATTTGTGTTACATTGTTGTATCCATATATTCTACCGTTAGAAGTGAACTTTAGTTTCAAGTATGCAGCACAACTCTACGTACCCTGTAGATAGATTTGTGTTACATTGTTGTATCCATATATTCTACCGTTAGAAGTGAACTTTAGTTTCAAGTATGCATTACAACTCTACGTACCCTGTAGATAGATTTGTGTTACATTGTTGTATCTATACATTCTATCGTCAGATGTGAACTTTAGTTTCAAGAATGTATTACAACTCTACGTACCCTGTAGATAGATTTGTGTTACATTGTTGTGTCTATACACTCTATAGTTAGAAGTGAACATAAATTTCAAGTATGCAGCACAACTCTACGTACTCTTGGTTTTAATATCATTAGCACTAGTGCAAATACCTCAGTAGAACAACCCTACTTAGACTTCCTGATATTTGCAGTTCGCCGCATCTCTAAATATGATATATTGTTATACATGTTTTCATATATTGTTATACATATTTTAACTATGAACCTTATTCATAAAATAAAATTCATTGAAAGTTGTAACTTATAGAAATATAATGCACGAAATAACTTTTAATTTTCATTATTAACCACACACATCTATATATAGATATAATTTATAGCAGTTTACTCATTATATTCGGTTATTATCAAGTAATATCCAAATGACCAAATCTATTATTTATTTCTGAGTGTCACTAGAATACCCATGGCATCAATGTTAAATAATTTCTGTTCCTATAGATTGCTTTTTGTTGTCGTGTTCTACATAGAATATTTATGAGATAAATTTAAATTTTTATGTTCCATCAACAGCAGCGTATTGTCTAAAACGATAGTCTTTACTCCATGTTTTATTGTAAGGAGTTTAACCTTCATTCTAGCAGCTCTCTCATTAATATCAATATTTCCGGAAGAACGCTTATGCTTTGAGTGCTACCATTTCAAACAACGATTTCGGAAAAACGTTTTTGTTTTATGTATTCTATCATCAAAACTCGTCACAAAAGATTAAAAGTACATACAGCATTTTTTCTTTCTTTTTACTTACCACAGCCTTCTTCATCTTTTTGGTCAAAACAGTCCACGATTCCATTACATCTCCAAGCTTTAGGCACACAGAGTCCTTCTGGACATAAAAACCGTTGCTCTGAACATTCTGTAGCTACAACAGATGAAAAGTTTTAAGGATAATTTTTAAAGCATTTTCCTTCAACTTAAAATTAAAACAAAGAAATTTTACATAAAACACACTGAGACGTTATAAAAATGTTTTTCCGGTACTGTTGGTAATGGCATAAAATTGCAAATAAAAATGTTTTTCCACATGCATTGTTGTTAGTAATAAAACAATAAATTGCGGTAGTTTTAATGCCCTTCGCTTGCATTTTCCTTATTCTATCATTTTCACGCACGCCTTTTAAGCTACGTCTTTTTTGCAGGCATTATGTGTTAAATCGATATCCTGGTCTATTTCAAAACATTTTACGCGGTCAGACAAATAAGCTTGCGTAGACGTAACTTTATTTAATAAATCTACACGTAAACAATAATGTAAAGTAATAATATTCATAATAGTGTACAGAGTATGAAACAATTATGAGCATTCAGTGTATGACAGGTTTTCGGAGCTGAAACAAAGAAACAAAAACGAAGAACAAAACTCGTACTAAAGAAAAAACTAGCTAAAAGGTGTTTATGGCAGTTTATGAAATGAACCTAAACTAAATTATTGCAAAGTAGAGTAAATGTAAATTTGTAATGAAGGCAAACTTAGCTGAATATCCAAAAGCGTCTGAATGCGTGTTCATAAAGTGATAAGCATATGGTTTTGAACGAACTTTGCATGCGTATTTTAGACCTAAATACGTCGAGGAAGCCCATGGAAATTGTATTTAGTGTAATGTTCATTTTTTAGGAAATTACACGCGGGTTATGTGTTCCTTCTGTGAAACCCTTTTCAAATAAAAACTAAAGTTAAAATCTAAGCCAGTCGTCACGTGATGACAACGACAAAGGCCTTTCTAACGATATGAGATTGGTAGCGTTTGATCGAGAATTTTCAAAATTAAGTTGTTATAAAATCGTGTAGTAAAAATTAAATAAGATTTAATTGTTTGTTCACATGTCTGTCTTCTTGTATTCTCTAAATTAATGAAATAGTTTACACTTTTGGCTACACGTAGTAGAATGATAATCCTGTATAGGATGGTCACACGTGGGAGAATGATAACCCTGTTTAGGATGGCCACACGTGGGAGAATGATAACCATGTATAGGATGGCCACACGTGGGAGAATGATAACCATGTATAGGATGGTCACACGTGGGAGAATGATAACCCTGTATAGAATGGTAAAACCTGGTAGAATCACATCCCTGTGTAGGAAGGTCACTTGAGATAGAATGGCATCTCTGTATAGGATGGCCACTAGTAGTGGAATGAAAGTTCTGTATAGGATGGTAACTTGAAATAGAAGGACAGTCCTGTATAGGATGGTCACACCTGATAGAATTATATCCCTGTGTAAGATGGTCACACCTGGTAGAATGATATCTCTGTGTAGGATGGCCACTCGTAATGGAATGATATCCCTGTGTAGGATGGTCTCACCTGGTAGAATGACATCCCTGTGTAGGATGGTCACACCTGGTAGAATGACATCCCTGTGTAGGATGGTCTCACCTGGTAGAATGGCATCCCTGTGTAGGATGGCCACTCGTAGTGGAATGACATCCCTGTGTAGGATGGCCACTCGTAGTAGAATGACATCTCTGTGTAGGATGGTCACACCTGGTAGAATGACATCCCTGTGTAGCATGGCTGCATGTGATAGAATGAATCTGTTATAAGATTCTCGTGTGTTTAGCTTCTAATGTTAATGTTGGAATGTTTTTTTTCAGAAGAAAAGTGAAACGTCTGGTCAACATTTGGACCTAACGACCTTTAGTGCGACATAAGTTCGTAAAGTAGAGTTTGTTTGTTTTTGAATTTCGCGCAAAGCTACACGAGGGCTATCTGAGATAGCCGTCCCTAATTTAGCAGTGTAAGACCACCCACCGCCAACTCTTGGACTACTCTTTTACCCACGAATAGTGGGATTGACTATTATAACGCCCCCCATGGCTGAAAGGGCGAGCATGTTTGGTGGGACGGGGATTCGAACCCGCGACCTCACATTGCGAGTCGAGCGCCCTAACCACCTGGCCATGCCGGTCCATATAAAGCTCAATATAAATATAATTAAAACCGCATAGTCGACGAAAATATGTAAATTAAATAATAGGTTGAACAATCGCCAAGTTTTTATATATTTTTATTTAAAGAAGGATGACGTTTCTATCTAGCACTTTTTGTCAGCTAACTCGAAACGTCATCCTTCTTCATATAAAAAAACTTAGCGATTGTGCAATCTATTATTTAATTTTGTGTTAATAAAGCTCCCCACACATCGATGGCTCAACGGTAAGTTTTAGGGCTTATAACTCTAAAATTTGTGGCTCGATCCTTGCAGTGGCTACAACGCAGATAGCCAATTATTTAGCTTTGCGCTTAAAACAAACGATATTGTACGCTGTATTAATATGAGATAAATGCATACGTTGATTTGAGTTGAATAAAAATTGTTAAAAATGTATGCTAACTTAAGAATGCTTTATGTCACAATCATCATATATACATATATGCGTAATAAAGAGTAGGATATATGGAAAACGGAGAAACTAGGCTTTTGCTTTAAGCTCAATCGTGAATATTTTACGTTAAACAAACAAAAACTATTTTGTATTCACATTTCTAAAGATTAAAACTTCTGTTACTAATGAAAACGTCAATATTAAACCGCCTGGAAGTTGTTTTTCATTAAGCACAAAGATTTGGAAATGGAAACTTTAAGAACTTACCGCATCTGAGCTCATCACTAGAATCGGGGCAGTCACCGGCTCCATCACAAACTAGTGCACGTGGGATGCAGCCCCCATTCTGACACTTAAACTCGTCGTCGGCACAATCTTTGGAGAAACAATAAATCCATGGATTACCAGTGGTTATTGTTCACGTTGAAATAATAGCATTGTTATCATCCGGGTCATTAATTAAACAAGATATTTATGAAGACCGCTTGTTTTGAGATAAATTATGTTACAACATTCACTTAACGTTCCGGTAAACACTTGAAACTGTTAACAAAACTAATTAAGTGTAGAGCGCGTTTTTGTGGCAATGACACGAGACCAATGAACCTGCAGATTCACAGTTCGGGCTCGCTAATCACTAGCTATACCCGCCACATGTATTATTATTATTATGTGAAATATTTTTTTTGTTTTTGCTCTAAAAGGAAACATGACGCTAAGCTGCTGAGAATAGAGACAAAATAATCCATTGTTAAGTCTAGAAAACAATATTTCAGTTTATGTTTTCATTTGAAAAATAAATGAGGCTACAATATAATAGAATATGAAAATACAAAATATGGTTAAGTTTACTGTTTTATTATATAATTATGTGATGAAAAATTTAATGTTTTAAATATAAATTTGGATTTAAAGATGTTTAAATTTTTTGATGATTCTTCAACAGTTACAAGTTATTAGGTATAATTAAAAGTTAGCTGAATCTGTTCTTAATTCTATTATAGATGCTATTATATACTTACAACAATCGTTAATTACGATTAATGAAATAACGCCATAAACGTATAAAATTAACATTTTCAATCAGAAATCACAGTAATTTAATCATCATAGTTTTACGGACCTCCAAGTTAATGAAATTTTTATATGCCATGATATAAGAGGTAGAAAAAATAACAAATACATTGATTATAAAAATAATAATAAAAGTTTTATAAGTAAAACGGTTAACAAATGAAATGTTAATCTCCGGTTGGTTTTTCCGATTACCACACCAAAACATATTGTTTTTAGGTTATTTGTTTAATTCTAAAAATCCTATTCAAACGATTTTCTTATATCTTAGTTTACCTGTAGCCCAGTTTTTGACACACCAAGTTACTGTGTTCCTCATTCCAACCATCACCACAAACCGAAGTCCATCCATACTGGGAATGAAATACCTCCAGCAACATGGAATCTTTATGTAACCGCACTGGAAGAACAACAATGCCCTCTGTTGTTAAATGTAGTGAATATTTCATATTTATGCTAAACCTTGATACTTTTTACCTCTCTATTCTGCTTTACAGTTTGAATTAGAACTATATGATAGTGTTAAATCTGAATAATATTTTATATTGTTACTATATCTAGTTTGTTTGTTTGATTATGTGTTTTAGAGCAAAGTCATATTGGGCTTTCTGCTGTGGTCACCGCGAGGAATCAAACCTTGGACTTTAGCGTTATAAGTCCGAAATTTACCGCTGTCCCACTGGAGGACTATTAAATCTAGTTATACTTTATATATATTTTTTATTTGTTTAACAATTTATGTTGTTATCAAAAATATAAGGCAAAATTCAAGTTTTTATGTTGTTACATGACTATGAGGCAAAATTCAAATTTTTATGTTCTTACATGAATATAAGGCAAGATTCAAGTTTTTATGTTATTACATGAATATAAGTCAAGATTCAAGTTTTTATGTTGTTACATGAATATAAGGCAAGATTCAAGTTTTTATGTTATTACATGAATATAAGGCAAAATTCAAGTTTTTATGTTATTACATGAATATAAGTCAAGATTCAAGTTTTTATGTTCTTACATGAATATAAGGCAAGATTCAAGTTTTTATGTTGTTACATGAATATAAGGCAAAATTCAAGTTTTTATGTTCTTACATAAATATAAGGCAAGATTCAAGTTTTTATGTTGTTACATGAATATAAGGCAAAATTCAAGCTTTGTTGGAAATGTACTTTAAGAATAAACATAGTTTATTAACAATTTCTAACCTCAATAACAGCGACCCCTGGAGGTCTGAAATGTTGCTATTAGGGACTATTTCTTGAATTACATGGTAGAAATTTCTGTCCTTTTCAAGGTTGGAGTCATTACTTGGTAGATAATCTGTTGAGATTGTTTCACTGTTTGGATGATATAAATAAAAAGCTTGTTTATTATACAATATTCTGTCAATTTTGAAAAACAAAAATCTATACAACCGTGTCAAACATATTGTTTATAATGTGAAGAACTGAATAG